CTTCCTCTTCTTTCCTCTTCCTCTTCCTCTTCTTTCCTCTTCCTCTTCTTCTTCTTTCCTCTTCCTCTTCTTCTTTCCTCTTCCTCTTCCTCTTCTTCTTTTTCTTTCCTCTTCCTCTTCTTCTTTTTCTTTCCTTTTCCTCTTCCTCTTCCTCTTCCTCTTCCTCTTCCTCTTCCTCTTCCTCTTCCTCATCTTCATCTTCATCCTCACCCCCATCCTCATACCCATCCTCCTCCTCCTCCTCCTCCTCGTCCTTCTTCTTCTTCTTCTTCTCCTTCTCCTTCTCCTTCTCCTTCTCCTTCTCCTTCTCCTTCTCCTTCTCCTTCTCCTTCTCCTTCTCCTCCTCCTCCTCCTCCTCCTTCAAGGGTCATTTCAGAGGAAGTTAAGCCAATAAAAGGAACACGAGGAGAATACTCTGCATAGATGAAGCTCCCCATTTACCACTTCTTATAGAGGGGAGAACTTTCCGGTCCTAAAGAGGGAGAGGGAGAGGGAAGAAGGAAGAAAGAGAGGGAGAGGGAGGGAGGAAGAAAGGGGGAGAGAGGGGAGGGAGGGAGGGAGGGGAGGGAGGGAGGGAGGGAGGGAGGGAGGGAGGAAGGCAGGGAGGAAGGAAGAAAGGGAGAGGGAGAGGGAAAGGGGAAGAAAGGGAGAGGGAAAGAGCGAGAAAGGATGGGAGGTATAGAGAGAGAGGGGGGGGAGAGGGAGGGAGGCAGGAAAATGGAAGAAGGGAGAGAGGGAAAGGGAGGGAGACAGAACGAGAGGGAGGGATGGAGAGAGAAAGAAAGGAAGGAAAAGATAAGGGAAAGGGAGGGGAGGAGGGAAAGAAGGAAGGAAAGAAGGGAGAGAGAGAGAAAGACAGCCAGACAGACAATCAGACAGACACACCGAAGGCGATCCTGTCGTTGTGATTTCGATATAACACAAAAATAAGAACGACAATAATAAAAAAGAATAATAATAATAAAATTCAAATAAAAAGATAATAAATATAATCAAATAAACAACCAAAACACAAGCTAACAAACAACCAAATAAAAATATAAGAGCAAATTATAACCACGAGAAATTAAATGGCAATAAAATAACACCAAAGCATTAGCGATGACGTCACCAAAAGCGGGCCAGCAGAGCCAAGATTTTCGGGTCCGCCTTGCTGTGTATTGCACCCCGCGGCTAGGTACGAATATAATGGAATTGCCTTCAACTGGATGCTGTCATGTTATCTTAACGAGGTTATTGTGTTTCTGGCCCTCTCTTTCATTCTCTCTCTCTCTCTCTCTCTCTCTCTCTCTCTCTCTCTCTCTCTCTCTCTCTCTCTCTCTCTCTCTCTCTCTCTCTCTCTCTCTCTCTCTCTCTCTCTCTCTCTCTCTCTCTCTCTCTCTCTCCTCGTATTTTTTTTCTTTCTTTCTCTGCATCTTCTCTTCTCGTATTATATATATATATATATATATATATATATATATATATATATATATATATATAGATAGATAGATAGATAGATAGATAGATAGATAGATAGATAGATATATATATATATACTTTTCTCGCATCTTCTCTTTCTCTCTCCCTCTCCCTCTCCCTCTCCCTCTCCCTCTCCCTCTCCCTCTCCCTCTCCCTCTCCCTCTCCCTCTCCCTCTCCCTCTCCCTCTCCCTCTCCCTCTCCCTCTCCTCTTCCTCTTCCTCTCTTCCTCTCTTCCTCTCCCTTTTGGTCTTGTCTTCTCGTACCTTCTCGTATCTCCTCTTCCCTTCTCGTCCCGTCTCTTCCACTTGATACGTAGAACGCTTTCTTGTTACGAACCTAAGTCATCTTCTAAGCCTCGTGTGTTTCTGTGACAACAAGTAAATGCTCTAATAACTAAATAACTAAAATAAGATTTGTTAAAAGTTGAGCTCGTTATCGTAAGCCATTTTTTTTTCTTTTCTTTTCTTTATGAAGCTGGACATCAATATTATTAGTCTGTTCTGGAACGCCTCTGCACTAGGTTTATCATCACATAATATTGTTACAGAACCTAACAAGCGAGAGAAAATTGTGTTGGTTTTATATTCTACATTTCAATTGCGTCTTGTCTTTAAATATGTTTTGATTAGCGCGGGTTAATCAAAATATCCAGCAAGCCATTCGGTCAGAATTCTTTGCTAAAGTCAGATGCAGGACTTGAGTGAATGTTGCAAAAAAAAAAAAAAATGTTTTATTGTTTTATCAGACTACGATTAATTATAATATGATAACCCCAAGATCATGGACTCACATAAATTATTATTATTTCATCAAGTATAGGCTAGCGTCAAAATAACGTCGACTCTTCCTAGCCTTCCTCCCTTCCCACACCTCACTTCTCGACGGCGTTTGTTGCTGCTTCTATTTTTTTCTCTCTCTCATCCGCTTATAGCACCGCCTCCGCATTCAGAATTCTCCGATATCTAGCCTCGCTGATAATATAAAAATCTTAGGATCCTGATTAAATCATCTCTGACCTAGATAGTTGGAGAGCTGCGAGTGAAATGGCTGATAGAAATGACTGAGTTCTATTCAGCCTGTAATGCCTCTGTTTTCTATCTCTTTTCTAAACCGTAGTCCGATTGTCCATTGGTTCTTCATATTCGTTTCCAGGGAAACATCTTTACCTCAGACAGTGAATTATTCCCTATCTTTTCCAACTTCTCATACGATGCACACACAACTAATATTAATTACGTTATATCTAATGATCTAATAATGATGCAAATAAAGTCAGGGTTAACCACAAACCACTCTGCCAACTTTTTTCTCCGGGAATTAGCAGAAGAAATAGCGAGGCAGCACCGAAAGATTTTACTAAAAGTTCTACGTTATCGTCCTTGAGTGTTTAATAATTTGTTTTCTTTGCCACTCTTGTCAAGACCTTTTTATATTTGTTTTTTCAATTGTTTTCCTCTTCTTTTTCGTTCTACCTAGAAATCGATGTAAGTGATGATTCAATAAATAGATTAGCACTTATAACACCAGGTAGAGATTGTCTGTATAGTTATATCTTAAGATTCAATTGTACCCCTATAAATTTCTCTTCTCGTGTTTTCTCTCTCTCTCTCTCTCTCTCTCTCTCTCTCTCTCTCTCTCTCTCTCTCTCTCTCTCTCTCTCTCTCTCTCTCTCTCTCTCTCTCACACACACACCCATCCTTTATGTACGTAGAGCAGGTCTGTGGGGATAATAAGGTTGAAGTCCATTGATCTAAAAATTCATCCACTCCCTCTACTCCCTTAAAACTGTAATCCTCTCCTCCCCCCCCCCTCCGTCCTTATCCACCACGACGCCTCTCTCCCCTTGCCCTCACCCCCCCCCCCCTCCCCGCAGCTTCCTACACCTGGTACTTCGCCCGTCATTTCACCCTGATGGGTTTCACAGGGCTGATGTAGGGATGTTCGTGACATGGCACTGCAAGCAATATCTACCCTCCATTTCCTCACCTCACACATAGGTAAGTATTTCGTGGACTCTAGATCCGAAGCTCAGTCCGCGCAGGTGTGACAGCAGCATCCTAGGTAGTCGAAAGTATACCTGGGATGAGTCTAGTTTTAAAATCAATACGCTGTCATTCATTACGCACAACTTCATCTACGGCACTGACTGTTTTTATTCTGATCTTAATCACACTGTCTTTCCCTTTAATCCACCACCATGCTTCTAAGATACATTTGTCCCTCAGTAAAATAATCACCATCCTTAACACCCAGACCAGGGACAATTACATTAACTCTATAACACTAATATAACACTAATTCACAATGCCTTCCGCGGACATTATGAGTTCCACCGTGGTCTATGAAACAGTGGTGAATTATATAAATATATGAATATTAACACACATTCAAACTGCACAAGCGTTGGCGTATGTGTATTCCCAGCTGATGCTTCAGCAGCCTGATCTCTCCATGATATTCTCAGCATCCATAGTGCCTAAACTCTCTTATATCATGACGTTTCGAACTAGGCAAGAATTCCTCATCAGATGAATAACCGAAATGAATCACTTCGAGAGTAACTCTAAGACGCATCAGCTCTGCCAGCACCCTGACACCTTCAGACCTCTTCCATTGTTACCAAAAGCGAGGCACTCCATCTATCCCATCTGAAAACTACTGCCACCATTTTTTCCTTCTTTTTTTTCTTTTTCTTTTCTTTTTTTACAACCTGCCGGACCCTTCGCGCATGGCTGTTCACGGGCCGTCACTTCTGCCGGTTTTATGACAAATAACACCTCCTTTGGTATACGTCATAATCAATCTCATCTCGAAGTAAAAGTAATTCCCCGAAAGATCAATAATTCATGACCATCGTCTCACGTAGCTTTTCAGGCGATGACGCAAGCATTACTGCTCCGATC